GGAATTTGGCATATATGTTTCTTAGGAGAATAGAAGAGGGCCAGATACTAAAATACCGCTGCCTCGCTCCCTTCCAGTAACAAACACATGATTTTCATTGCAGGGAAAGCAGAGACACATCTGGCCCAGAGAAGGATGCTCCATGGTCACTGATGCTTTGGCTTTGCTGGGAGAGCAGGCTTTGCCCAGGCTGAGGGGTCCTGTTGGGCACAGTGGCAGCACCCAACTCATCTGGGATATTCCAGCTCCCTACAGCAAAGGAATCTGCAGTCCAGCTGCCCCAAACCCCAGGCTCCCTGTCCTACACTGCAAGTCCCATCTGCCTTTCCTTGGAGAAACCTTCCGAGCCCCCACTGTGCACAGCCAGGGGGAGTGGCTGCAATGGTGGGTAGAGATTCTGGAGCACTTTTCACACCATGTCGCAGTTCCTTGAAGACCTTGCCTGCTGTTGCTCTTACTATCACCTCCTGCCAGCTTTTCCCTGGAACCCTGTGGTGCCCACAAATGGGAATTGGTTTATGGCCTGGCTCAGTGTTGGTGACTCCTCACCACCGTGTTTGCTCATTTCATCCATTCAGCTCCACTCAAGGAGCGAAGACAGGTTTTCAGTGACGGAGTTTCAGTGGCTCGTGTGCGATGGAGACTGATGTTGGCTTCAAGGATGGTGCTTGGTGCAAGTGCTTTCCTATTGTTGCACAGGCGATCCCCGACGAAGGGGAGAGAATGATGAGGAGGACTCTGTCTTATCAGAAGGCTAAAGAATTACTTTATTATTCTATACTATATGCATTGTATCTAACTGAATCTGCTTTGCACTCACCCTTGCTCACAACTGCACACAACTGCACTCATCTCGATTCTCTCTTGACGGTCTCGTGACAGTCCAACACACGCACAGCTCTTGGCCCTGATAGGCCAAGAGAACAAAACATCCTCACATTGGGTAAATAATCTCCATTTTGCATTCCACCTTAGCACAGCAAGTGAGATAAGAATTATGTTTTCCTTCTCTGCTTGTCTCACACCTTCTCTCTGTTCAGAGGGCATGTGAATACCACACTTTCCCACAGGGATGCTGGGGCTGGGGGCCTTTCCCTGCCCCAGCATCACCCACTGCTGGGGCAGAGTTGGATAAAACCTTCAACAGCTCCTGGCCTTCACGTTCCTCTCCTCCTGTCACCTCTCCAGTGAATACTGAGCTCCCAGTTCAACAGTTCATGCAGCGAGCACGCACACCCTCCATCCTCCCAAGCTTCTCCCCATTCCACCATCCTCACCTGGCTACCTGAGAGCGCTGCCCCAACACCACCTCCCCTTGGGAAATCCCAGCTCAGCCATCACCACAGCCCCGCAGAGCAGAGGATCCCAGCGTGGGGACACCATCCTTCCCTCCCCGCGCCCGTCGGCGCTGGCCGGCGCTGAGCCCACCCGTGCCAGCCGCCGGGTGTTCTCCGCGCTCTGACAGCTGTACGGAAATTGGAAGGCGACGCTGACATGTGTCAACAATAACCAGCGAACAAGCGCCAGCGGCGGCGGCGGCGGCGGCTGTCCCCACCACCTCGAGGAGGCTGGCCACTCTTGGCTGAAATCACGGCACGTTGCGGCTGGAAGCAGGAGTATTGTTTCAATTATTTCCATTATATAAAGTCAGGCCATTTAATATATTCTGCCTCAAAGGGGCTCAGCTAAAGAGATAAAATAAACACTGGAAATCTGCTCTGCTGACATGGACCAGGAATTCAGTTTCGACACCAAGCCTTCCCTCTCATCTCACTGCTTGTCTTCCCTTTCCTCCCGGCTCTCTCTCCTACTATTGCTGCCCCTTAGCCTTCAGTGCCACTTGATGCCAATTCCCTCTTTGGGCTTTGCTCCTGTTTTGGCAGCTGGAGCACTTGAAGGTTGTGCAGCCATGCTGGCGTCCAGGACTGGAGCAAGCCAGAGAAGCCAAGAAGAGATGTGGAGCTCCAGAGCTCGCTCTGGGATGAAGGATGTGATTTATGGCAAATCTTAAGCCTCTTGGGATGCCACATTCCCTGAGAACAGCAGGAATGGCGGGTGGCACAAACCCAGGAATGGCTGAAGTGTGGCACGAGGAGGAGGAGGAGAAGGAGGAAAAGGAGAAGGAAAAGGAGGAAGAGGAGGAGGAGGAGGAGGAGAGAGCAAATGTGCTATGAGCGTGCTGCGGGCTGCACTTGGCTACGTCAGCACTAAAATCAGCCACCGTCACACCTTCCTTCTCATCTGGGAGAGCTGATGGCACCCCAGCATTGAGGGGCCTCACTGGCTCTGTGCTGGCATGGGAGGTGGTGAGTTGGGCTGCCAGGAGGCTGGAGTTGCTCCCACCAGCTCTGACCAGACAGGAGCTGCTTCCCATTAATGCTTCCCACGGCATCAGCCTCCCCAGAGCACTCTTCCCTTGCAGGGCTGTGCTAATCCAGGTGTTCCCAACGTGTTGGCATGTGGGAAGGAGCACCAGCCAGAGCAGCAGTAAATCTGATACTTGGCCTTTCCCAGCACATTTCCCTGCTCCAAGCTCTGCCTCTCCTGGATCAGGGTCATGGGCAGTGCCACCCCCCGGGACTGGGCGATGGAGGGAGCCGTGTCACGGGATGCCAGCGAGGGCTGTGGTGCAGCGTGAGGTGGAGCTGGCTTTTCTTAAGAGCAGGGAAAGGGCCTCTGCCGAACTGGCGCGAGAGCAGCTGTGACTTTCCATTCCTGTGGGAAGTGGGCTGCCACCGTCCAAGCATCTGGGCTTGTTATGATGGGAGAGGAATGCCAAGTATTTTTCTTCCTTATCCACTACCATCCGCTCAAACCCTCCCCTGATCAAACCCACATTCATCGCCTGGGATGCACTGGGAAGATCCCTCCCAGCCCTCGTGGCTGCTGGGAGCTCATGGCACCTGTAGAGAAAACCCCGCCCTCATCCAGGGTCTCCGTCCATCCCCCTGCCCCCCTGCCCCTTCCTGTCTCCTGCCGCTAGCCAGCTCCAGACATTTAATTTTCACTTTATTACCTTTTCTAGGAGCATCCGTGCACCTGCATCCCTGTGCCTGCATCCCTGTGCCCCCACCTCTGTGCCTGCATCCCTGCTGACCTGTGGGCCCGGCGGGACCACACCGGCCCCTCCAGAGCCCTGAGCATCCCGAAAGCAGCCACTGGGATGGTGCCACGGGCGTGTGCCCTGGGGCGCCTGCCGTGCCGGGAAGCAGGCGGTGCAGCTTTGGAAGGTCACCAAGATTTTTCCGAAGATGAAAGTGTGCTCAAGTGTCAAACAAACTTTCCAAATTATCTTTCTGGACACTTTCTCCCTTCTGCTTTGGAAGACGGAGGAGGAACATTTCATTCCCTCTGTGCTGGCGTGGAGCGGGGCTGCGTGAGGAGCCGGGAGCTGCCAGCGGCACCCGCGGCTCAGCCTCGCTTCTCGCCGACATCATCCCTGAGTCACCGCGGGTGCTGCCCTGGCATCATCAGCTGGGCTTCCCCCTCCCCGCCGCCCCCCAAACCCCTCCCAGCACAACAGAGGGTTGCCAGGTGCCCAGTTAAACAGCAGACAGCACCTCTCCTCCCACCGACAGTAGGATTTGTCATAAATAGACAAATTAAGGGAAACGTGTGGATTTCTCTGCTCTCTCAGGGATACCTGGCACACAGCAGCAGGGGCATGGGGACAGCAGCTGTGCCGCCCTTGGCAAACCCCCCGTGATCCCAAACAGCTGAGGATGGGCTGAGCAATGGCCACGTGGTGCCCCCAGGATCCAGCACTAATGAGAGCTGTCTAATTAGTGCGTCCTCCTGTGACGGGTCACCCTGGCAGGGCTTGTGCCGACATCCGCTCACCCATGCCAGCAGCCAGAGAGCGTGACCTGGAATGAGGTGCTTCCCTGGCCCTTGCCCAGTGTTTGCCTTCCAGGTCTGGACAAGGAAATTCCCTATGGGCTCCAGGGCAGCCGTGCTGACACCCAACAGGACTTGTGGAACCTCCTTGCCCTGTGGCATCCACGTCCCATCCCAGTCACTGCCATCCACTCCGATGCAGCTGCCTGCAGCCAGGGTTTGGAGACACTCAGATATCCCCAATGCCATTGCCATATTCCTATTTTTCCACGCTGGGATGGCAGCAGCATCCCCATGTCCACATGGGCCCCAGCCCTTGCAAACTCCTGATGGTGATGCCATGCTGCAGGTTTGGTTGTTTATGGAAATTTTGTCTGAGCCAGATGCTGCAATTTATGCATTTTATGTGTAATTTTTCAATTTATTTCATAATTAGAAAAAAAAAAAAAAACCTAAAGTGATCCTAACCATTATTACTCCTGGTTTCCTCAGTTATTACTCCTGGTTTCCTACATTGTGGCCAAAGGGGTCTGAAATGGCTCCTTTGTTGTCTGATCATTAACCCTTCAGGAATGAAACACAGCAGTGCCGGATGGGAGAGGTGGGGAGAGAGGCTCAGGGGGGCTGGGGGAGAGAAGGGAAACAGGAGAGAGAAATTCGAGGGGTAGAGAGAAGATTAACCCCAGTGTACTGTCCCAGGCATGGCTGGACACCCCAGGGCACTGATGGACACATCCACTGCAGCCCCGTGGGTGCTCCACTCCGGTGCCATGGGTTTGCTGGCTCTCAGCACCCCCAGCCCCTTCGTCCCTCCCAGGCAATGCAGACCCAGAGCATCCCGGGTGGAAAGGAGCCCCGCTGGTGTGTGGGATGAGCAGGTGGATGCTGATCTGCCCCAGGGTGCTCAGGGGGGTCCTGTGTGCCCAGAAATTCTCTCAGTGCTCCCTCTGGGTGGAGGAGAGGGGCGCCATGTGTTGGTTTGCACATGGTGATGACAGGAGTGAATGCGCTGTCACTGGCGCTGTCACCGGTGGCCAGTGGCCTCGGAGCCCTGGCTGGGACGTCACCAGGCTGTGGCACAGGGTTGGGACAACAGGACGAGCACGTGGGCTCCCACGATGGGGACCTGTGCCCATAGGTCGCCTGGATACCTGGCGAGTGAGGTGTCCCCCTCCTGTCCTGCGCCCCACCTCAAGCACAGCCCCTAGGGTGGGTTTTGGGGAGCACAGCGTGGGACAAGGGGTGTGGAGAGCCGCATGGGAGCCCAGAACAGCGCAGTGAGCTCGTCTTGGCTTGGAACAGCTTGGCACAGCTCGGCTCGGCTCAGCTTCGCTCCCGCAGCTCGGAGGGAGGTGAGTTAAGAAGCGCTCGGAAAATCAGAGTCAGCTGCAGCCCTGGGGACAGCCGGGGCAGACCCGCAGCCGCCGCCGGAGCTGCCGGAGACCCACCACGGCTCCCGGCGACCGGGGGGCTCAGCCCTGCCCGGGGGGCTCAGCCCTGCCCGGGGGCTGTCACCGGCCCCCCCAGCCCTGCGGGGACTCGGAGCGGGGGCTGAGCCGGGGGGGGCTGAGCCGGGGGGGCTGAGCCGGGGGGGCCGGCGCAGGCAGCGTCACCCTCCTGGCTCCACCCCCCCAAAATCGCAGGGGGCTTCGCTGTGACCCCGGCGCTGGGATGGCAGCGGGACAGTCGGACCGCGGCGGGACGGCGGGACGGTTCCCAGCCGAGGTGGTGGCTGGAGTGCTCCGGGGGGATCCAGCCAGGGCGTTTGCCAGTCGCTTTGTTGCTGCTGGGGGATTTTTTATTTATTTTTTTTTTAGGATTATTATTATTTTGAAAGGGAGGGTGAGCAGAGGGGGCTGACACTGACTATAAAGGCAGAGCTCCCTGGAGCAGCCGGCACTTCCCCGCCACCATGAGCACTCCCCGGGCCTGACAGCCCCAGCCTGCCCCACTGCCGCCGGCTCAAACTGCCCTGAAGTGTGGCTGTGTGTCCGAAGCTCGGGTTGGGATGGTGTGAGCCCGGAGCCGCTCGTCGCCCTCCCACCACCCCTCACCGGCTCTGGCAGGAGCCGAGCCTGCCAGCCGCTTGGATGATTTGATTTCTTCCCTGTCCGACATCACTCCTGCCCAGATGCAGTGGATAATATTCATGTTGCTGTTATTCATCAGCTCCATGGAAATGCTCACGCAGAACCGGTGGAAGAAGCAAGGTACAGTGTGCACGGTGGGCTCATCCCGCTCGGGTCCTGCGGGGTGGCTTTGGGACACCAGGCTGCCTGTCCTGCCTGCACGGAGCAGGAAGGAGTTGTGAACCAGGGCTGGAGGTGCCAGCAGCCAGCAAACCCCCAGCCCCTCGCCTTGAGCCCCTTTGGGGACCGTCTGTGCTCCCCTCTGGGTGCGTGGCACGGGGCTGGCTTGGCAGTGTGGAAGATGCAGAGCACAGCCCCACCACCCTGCCTGCCCGGTGCCAGCCCTGCCTTTGTGGCTGGCAGGACACAAGGGACACTGGCTGGCACTGGGACCAGCTCTGCAAACCCCCGCAGAGCCAGACACAGTGGGGATAGCACAAAATGGGCTGATTTTCTGATATTTCCTTTCTCTGCATAGCACACTAAGTGCTTTAGGAGTAAAACCTCCTGGAAGGATGCTCAGAGCCACAGCAGGCACTGCCTGTCCCCTGCCCCATCCTTTCCCCAGGAAGAGGCACCAGCTGAGCCCCTGCTCAGTGCCTGGGCAAGGGCAGGGTGTGCTGGGGCTGTGCCGAGGCACGTGCCCCCTCCCTTGGGCACTGGCTCGTGTCCCCTCGCTGGGCAGTGCCAGGCAGTGCCAGCTGGCTGTGTGGAGTGGGTCCAGAGCTGGTTCTCAGCCCTGTGCCAGGAATGCCTTGGTTTTGGGGCCAACATGTGCCAGGGTAGGGGCAGGACGTGCCAGGACCAGGCTCTCAGGGCTGGAGCCTGGAGAGCTTCCTTGAAGTTGTTCCATGTTAAAGGCATGCGGAGGCAGTAGGTGTGGGTGATGATGTGGGTGGCCAGACTGGTGGCCAAAACACCCCTGATGGGAAACAGCCAAGCACCAAGAAGGGCTCCAGCTACCACTGCTTGATGCAATGCTCCAAAGGCCTCAGGTCTTGGCAGCCTGGGGGTCTGGCTGTGGTTTCACACCCCAGACATGTTATATACCCTGGGATAACCTGCACAGAAAAGCCAGCTCAGGGTCCAGGAGCCACAAAAGATGCTGCAGCACCCCACAGCCTCCCTACTGCCACTGGAGCTCTGGTCTGGGCAGTGCAGTGCCCCAGGGACTCATGGATCCCAGCAGGACTGGCATAGGGTGGGCAGAGATGGGGGATGTCACACCCATGTCCAGCAAACTCAGGTACCCACTGTGCCCCATGCCCAGTGCCCATCCCAGCTCAGCCCGCTGGACGGGAGATGAACCCACCTCTTGTTCCTAATCCCCAAGCCCATGGTTTCGGAGTGAGCCACATTCTGTTGCTCTCTGTGGTGGCTCCCAGTGTCACTCTTGGTGGCAGAGACGTGTGTGCCATGCCAGCAGCACTGTGGAGTGGAGGAGGACTCCCCACTTCTCCCAGCTCCATACCATGGGATTATTTCCAAGCCAGTGAGAGGAAGGAGGCCTTGGAGCCCATCCAGGGTTCCCCACCTTCTTTGCCCTGGCTGGAGGTGGAAGGAGAGCAGCAAAAAACCCCCCTAAATATCAAAAAGAATTAGGGAAGGGAAAGAGGCTCATAAATCCATGGGTCCCCAGGGAAGCCACTCCAGCTGCAGCCAGGAACACAAATGTTGTCAGCGTTTGGTAAATATGTAACGGAGACCATAACAACTTAATGGATCCAAGGTGCTTCGTTAGCGCTCCCAGCAGACGCAGCTCTAATGAGGGCTCCTGGCAGTGCTGCCATCCCAGTGTGCCCCAGAGAAGCGACTGGGATGAGCCAGCTTGGGGACAACTGCATGGCACCACAGCACCGTGGACTGGCTTGTGCCAGGGACCAGCGGGGGCTGCGAGGCACTGCCCGCCATCATCGTCTGACAGAATCCTCTGCCGGCATCCCCCCGGCTTCCCAGCACCTCTGCCCCAACCCCACAGCCGTGGGACCCTTCTGGTGCAGCTTTTGTGCCAGGCATTGCTGCCAGGGCTGAGTCTGTCTGTGCCAGGCAGCACCCAGCACGTGGCTCGGGCTTGTAGCAACCTTGTGCAGTGGAAGGTGTCCCTGCCCATGGTGGGGGGCTTGAGATGACCTTGAAGGTCTCTTCCAACCCAAACCATTCTGTGATCTATGGTTCTATAGAGCCCACGTCCTAAGCAGGCTGTACCAGGGCTTGTGGCACTGTCACTGCTGCTCAGGCTGTGGTGCCAGAGCCAAGCAAACAGCTCCCAACAAAGGGGCATGGTGAAGGCACTGGATGCTTGCATGCAGGAGTTCAGTGCCCTCTTTTGTGGCTTTTCAGTGGGCTCAGAGAGCAGGAGCAGTTGGTGGTGTTTCTGTGGCCTGGTGAATGTTGGCACCTTGTCCTTGTCCCTGGGAACAGAGGTCACCCACCTCAGGGTCAGTCACTCGCCCACAGCCTGGGAGTACAGCACAGGCAGCCAGGGAGGCAGCAGAGGCTCTTGAGCAAACAGACAGATTCTTTTCTCAGCTCCTCTTGACTGCATCCAAAATGCCCTTTGTCCTCTGACACTTGAGAGGCATCAACTGATTAATCCAGGTCAGATCACATTTCCACCGCTGACCCAGTGGTTTTTCCACTTCCCACGGGATGGGCAAGGCTGGCTTGGGGTGTGCCTCTGTCACCCATGGGCAGTGCAGGACATGGGGCAAAGCCTCAGTCTGGACCTTGGGGGGATGGAGGCCACCAGTGCTGACCAAGCTGGGAGCAATGGCTCCATGTGTCCCTTGGCTGCAGCGTGGACAGAGGTGGGGATTTGAGGAGCAGAGAGAGGTGGGGTGGCATTTGCAGGGAGACAGGACAGCGCTGTCCCCTGGTGTGTCAGAGAGGGGCTGCCACGGGGCTGGGGTCCCCACTCAGCACCTGTGTCACAGCCCCTCTCCTCATTTGTCCCCGCAGCGAGTGCTGGCCTGCTGGAAAACTGCACGGGCTGCGTCCTGTGCTCTGAGGACAACGGCTGCATCACCTGCCACCACCGCCTCTTCCTGCTGATCTGGAGGGACGGCATCCGTCAGTACGGGATGTGCGTCCACACTTGTCCCCCAGGCTACTTTGGCGTGCGGGGTCTGGAGGTCAACAGGTGCACAAGTACGTCCCGTGCCGGCCGGGGTCCCCCTGCTCCTGCTAGTGCCCCCTGCTCCCCTCGGCACCCTGCGGGTCCCAGTGCTGCGGGAAGGGCGATGGCTTCATTTCCCACAGCATTCCTGGTGGCACTGGATCCAGGGCCGGCCGGCTTGGGGGGGCTTCGTCCCCTTTTCCCTTGCCCAGAGCCGCAGCCTGGATCCCGCAGGTTTTGGGTCCCCGGTGGGTTTTGAGTCCCGCTGACCGGCCGTCCCTCCCGGCAGAGTGCAGGTCGCCCAGCTGCGAGAGCTGCTTCAGCAGAGACTTCTGCATGAAGTGCAAGGACAAGTTTTACTTGTACAAGGGCCAGTGCTTCCGGCAGTGTCCCCCCGGCACCGCGGCACAGCCCGGCACCCGCGAGTGCCAAGGTAAGCAGAACCCGCACCCGTGCCCGCCGTCCCCGGGGACGTGCCTGGCTCCGAGGGTCACCAGTCCTGTCCCTGTCCCTGCAGAGACGTGCGAGCCGGGCCCCTGGAGCGAGTGGAGCGCCTGTACCCACGAGAGCCGGACCTGCGGCTGCAAGTGGGGTGTGGAGACGCGGGTGCGGGAGGTGCCGGAGGCTGCCCGGGAGGAGGGCACTGCCTGCCCCGCGCTGCTGGAGACCAGGAGGTGCCGCATGAAGAAGCACTGCCCGGGAGGTGAGCACCGCGCCGCCGGGGCTGGGGACAGCTTCGCGTCCCTCCAAAGTGAGCCCGAGGGGCGCTGCAGGAGGACGGTGGCAGCAGGGGTCTGGCAGTGGCCGGCGAACCATGCTGTCATCCCCCAAGCATTTTGAAACTCTGGGTAAAGCCGTCATCTCAGGCACATGTGCTGAGCAGCCCTAGGGCTGGCTGCTCCCACCTGGCAGTCCCCGAGACTGCCTGGGACGAGCCAGTGTCCCCTTCCATGCTGGGCTGGGCTGGGCTGGGCACTGGCACGAACCGCCGTGGTGGGATGAGGCTGCCGAGCTCCAGCTCCCATCCTGCCACGACGTGAAGGGAGGCTTTCTGTACTGCAGCTGTGGGTAAGGAGGGTTGAGACACACAGGGGAGGTTCCGGCAAAAACCTCTGAGCTCCCTAAAAGCTGGAACGCTCATGGAGCAGGAGGGCATCACCCAGGGGATTTCTGAAGGCAAAAGTTTTGGGAGACACCCCAGGGCACAGTGCCCATCCATAGCTCATCTGGCCAGATGTTCACTCATGCTCCTGCACTTCCCCCCACCTCATTCCCAGGCTGGGGGCTCCCTGGCTCAGGGATCTCCCCACCTTTCACACACCAGACCCGCTGCAGGGTCTGTCCGGGCGGTGCGTGCGCGGGTGCAGGGCTGGCGATGGGAACCAGGACGTGGCTGATGTCATTTTTGGATGCAGGCATCTGGACTGAAGCTACCCTAATAAATCTCCACTTAATAACTGGCAGAAAGGGGGATGCATGAGATACCGATCTGAAGTGCCTGGCAGCAGATCTGAGCCAGCGAGGGTTGCGGTTCGGAGCTGCGGGATCGCTGCGCCGTGGGATGAGCCGGCCGGCACCGCCAGCGTGGCGGGGATCAGAGAGGACAGGACTGTGAGGGTGGAGAGAAAAAGGATGAAGAAGGGGGGCAGCAGCAGAGGACGTGCGTGCTGGGCGAGGGCCACGGAGCCAGGAGAGAGGTTTCATCCCAGCAGCATCAATCATAAGTAATATTTTCCTGCTGACAGTGCAGAGGAGCTGCTTCCCTTCCCCACCCAGGTCCCAGCTCACGTCTTTGGGGTGCCAGGTGGCTTCGATTTTGAGGATGTTCTCCTCCCTGCTGGTGTGTGGCAGCTCCAGACCCGCAGAGCTGGTGATAGTTTGATGGAAGAAATTTAGTGTGGGAGGACAGGCTGCTCTGGAGCACTGTGTCCTGGAGCACCGTGCCCATGCCCTGCCCTGCCTGGCACACAGCGGGTCCCACTGGCAGGGACTGCTGTCCTGTGTTTCGGGGACACCTCGTCTTGTGAAGTTACTGGGAAGGCACTGGCACCCCAGAAAAGTGCTTGGTCTTCTGCCTCTGCCTGTGCTCCTGCAAGCTGGAAGCCGTGGGGCTATGGTGGTGGGCTCAGGGACTGGCAGGACTCTATTCTTGAGGCTGCTATCTGGGATCAGCTTCAGAGACAGCCCTGTCCCCTGCCCAGCAGAAGGAATCCCATGAGTGCCCCCGAAGCAACCCCCTCAGGAGAGAGCAGCCCCTCCATGTCCCCCACTCCTGGGCAGGCTGTTTGGAGTCCCTGCCACTGCAGAGCGTGTGTCTGCCCTCGCTCCCAGGCTCCTGCCCGCCTGGCCAAGTGCTGGGTTATGGGATCCAGATGCTGGAGGAGGACGAGGAGTTCACTTGATGCATCTGAGGCACCCCCAGCCCAGGCGAGCCAGGGCAGGCGGCCGAACCCGACCGTGTGATGAGAGATTTGTGCCACCACTTCTGAGCCATTCAGGCGGCTGGAAGGGAAAAGCCGCCGCGCTTGGCCGTGGCACAAACCCCTCGCACTGCTGTAAATCTGCCTTGGGTGTCTGTCCCGCTCTCCAGACACTTGGCGTGCGTGCCGTGCCCTCTCCTTTGTGGGTGGCAACTGTCTGGAGATCAGAGCCGAGAAACAGGGTTTCAGAGCCAGCCAGGACAAGAACTGGAGTCCTCAGAAGGGACTGGGGACAACAGTGCTGGCACACGCAGCACCAGGGACAGTCATGGTCCCTTGTGCCCCTCACAACACTGAACCTCCCCATGTGACACTAACTGGAGTGGGCACCGGGGGCAAGGACCCACAAAGCTGCCCAGTTTTTGGGGCAACCATTCTGATCCACAGCATGGACTCCCCCTCCCAGCGGAGCCCATGGCACAGCAGGGTTTATCCTGAATCCCCATTTCTTTGGTGTCTCAGCACCAACACCTCAGCCAGCTGGAGGGTGTGTGGCAGCTTCTCAGGGTGAGCAAAGATTTGGGTCCCAGCAGCCTGACCCTGGAAAGCTGGCAGTGGGTTTACTTGGGATGCAGCCAGGCTCCACCAGCACACTGGTTGTGCCACTGGGATGGGGACCATCCACAGGTGGAGGCATCCACAGGGAGGGAGAATTAGCACCTGTGCAAGGATGCACTCCAAAGCCACCTTGCTCCCCAGCATGTCCAAATCCTCCCAGGGGCTGTCTGGGTCCCGTGGTGGAGGGCAGGTTCCCAGATCATGGCAGAGCTGAGCACGGCTGTGCCATGGCTTTGGGGTGTTGGTGCAGCCACTGCCCCTCTCCAGCACCCACAGTCCTTGCTCAGGGAGAAGCTGGGGTTTCTCCAGGCAGTTTCTGCTTGGGTTGAGCTGCCCCACCCTATTCCTGGGGATTTTGGGGTACCAGGACTGAGAGTCCAGCTATGGAGATGTAGAGACAATACGCCAGTGTCCCTGTGCCCATGCCATCAGCACACCCAGACCCCCCACAGACCCACACTGCTGTTTCACGCCTGGGAGAGGGCTCTGGGGTCCCCAAATTCAGAAACTGGGTCCAGCACTAACACCTTGAAGGAGGATATGGGATCAGCATCCCATGGATGGGGCTCAGGTCAGATCATGTTGCCTGGCCAGCGAGCAAGCGCTTCTTTCCTTCTCCTTTTTCTGTTGCAGAGAAAACTGAACCCAAAAATAAAGGCAAAAAGCGACAGAAGAAGCCGAAGACAGAAAGGCACACGGGCACCTAGCGGGCACCAGCACGGGAGCTGGGGCACCATGGCAGGAGTTCCCAGACAACTCCTGCCACAGTGCTCCAGCCACATCACCCCTGTTTTGACACCCACAGGAAAAAAAAAAAAAAAAAAAAATTGCACAATGTTCTCCACCCACAGGAAAAAAAAAAAAAACATTGCACAATTTTCTCTGCCCCCCCATCCCCCTTTTCTTTTGAGACAATTTATGGCCTGTAAAACATTTCCTTTTCAGAAAATCTAATTTGCAATGTCCAAAGCAAAGCCCTAGGGCTTGGGGAGGGGGTGGCTCCTTTATTCCTCTGGTCGTCCCTCTCCCCTAGCCTGCTCCATCCCTTCCTCCAGACGGGTGGGATGGGGTTAGACCGGGGTTGTACCCTGCTAATGAAGCTGATGCCTGCCTGGATAGTGTTCCCCAGGGCTGGGAGATGCCCTGGCTCTACAGAGTCCTGATTTTATGGGAGTGCTGGGGGCACAGTGCACCACTGAGCTGCTCCAGGTGCTGGATAGTGTCCCCCATTCTCAGCTACAGGCATGGGAAGCAGCAGGACTCCTGGGGTTGGGACCCCACTGGGGACTGTGCCATTGCTCACAGCAGCCCAGCCTGGTGCTCAGTATCCCCACTGGCACAACCAAGGGCCAAATCCTGCTCTCCTTTGGCTCGGAGGGCAGCTGGCCCTCCAGACTGACAAACCCTTCTTGGGATCATGCCAGCCCAGCACTCAGCACCCTCACAAGCCGAATCCTGCCATCCTCAGGCTCACAGAGAGGCTCAAAGATCTTCTCTCCCAGCTGGATGTGGGCACAGGAATTCGGGGTGACTGTATCTGTCTAGGACAGGGACAGGCACAGTGTGAGTGCAAGCCCAGGCAGGGGATGCTGCTGCGTCCTGGTCCTCAAACTGGGATGTGTTGGAAGCAGTGCTGCAAACTCCTCCCAGGCATCACCAGGCTGTGACCGTGGGGTGGTGAGCCCCCTCCCAGCCATCACCAGGGCATGACCGTGGGGTGCTGAGCCCGGGCTGTCCCTCCCTGCTGCGCTGTGTGTCCCAGGCACAGAGGGCTCTCTCGGGATATATGCCATGTGTGCGCTTAAATCGCTGTCCAGCCGCAGGCAGCGCTGCCTTTGGGGATTGCCGGGGCGCAACTCCCCGTCCCCGCCCTGAGCGGGAGCAGGGGGAGGCCGGGGTGGCCGCGGGGTGTCGAGGCTGCGGGGGCTGCACAGACCCTTCAGGACGGGAGCGCTGGGTGTCAGCACCGAGCTGGCAGCCCCAGAGCCGGCACAAAGCTGCCGGAGCATCTCCTCCAATCGCTTCATGGCAAATAAATGGATTAAACCCCCGCCTTGCTCCTGAGTCCCTGTTTTCCCCATTCCCACGAACTGCTGCCGGAGGGGGTTTGGGATGCTGGCCGTGGCCACGGTGCAGTCCCCTGTGCCACAGCTCTGCAGCTTGGGTGCCTGTGGGGGGACACCCTGCCCTGCCCCCCAGCACGGGGGTACTGGGGAAAGATTTGATTTCAAGTTTTAATGAGCATCACTCATTGCCTGAGCCAGCAGTGGGGCAAGTAGTAGCAAGTAGTAGCAGTGTGACACTGGGACTGCCATTCCACAGGACTGGGAATCACCAGGGGTTTTTTCTGGGTGTTGGAGAAAATCCCCCTCTGCTAAGATGCTTGGACATCCCCTTGGCAGCCTGTCCCCACCACGGGGATTGTCTGCTCCCGGGGGACACAGCCTAGCTCCTATCCCAGCCCATGGGCTGCCACACGTGGTGTCCCCCATTTCTGGTCAGAGTCACCAGCCCCCGACAGAGCCCGGCCTGGGATCTGGGCGCGCCGAGCCCGTGCACAGCCTGGCTGTGTCCTGCCAAGCCCTGCCTGGGACACAGCCCTCCCTCCTCCTGGTCCCCACGGGCTCATCCCTGGCCAGAGCAGCGAAATGCAGGCCTGGCTCCCGCTGGCACTATAAACAGCGGGACTCGGGGAGGGAGCGGGGCTGCCTGGGATGGGGGTGCCGGGTGTGGTGAATCCCAGCGGCTGCTGACCGGGGGCACTGGCGGGGTGCAGGGCTGGGGGGTGGGAGGGCTCGGTGCTGCCGCGGCGCTGTCCACCCCGGGACGTGCGATGAGTTGTGCAGAGACCGCCCGGGGGAGGGACGGGGTTGCGTGTGCGACTGTGAGTGTGTGAGAGAGTGTGTGTGTGTGTGTGTGTGAGAGAGACATTTATAGATCACGTGTGAAACTTGATCTCCCCGCAGTGGACCCAGAGGAAAGAAAAAAGATAGAAGTATTGTTTTTAAACAGATTTTTTCCTTTGTTTTTCTTTTTTTTTTTCTTTTTTTTTTTTTTCCTCCCCTCTCCCCCTGCGAGGGCTGGCGATAAAAGGCCGGGGCGGCCAGCGCCGGCTCAGAGGGAGGAAATGCCGAAATCGCCGCGGTCGGACGCGGCGGCGAGCGCCCACTGACCCATCCCGGCGCATCCCCCGCCGCGGCACCCCGGCCCCGCGGGGACCCCCGCGCCATGCGGGCGCTCAGCCTCGGCCTCGTGGCCCTGACCTGTGCCACGACGGCTCTGTGCGCTGCCGGAGCCCAGCGCCGGGCTCTGGAGGGCGGCGGCCGCCGGCGCTACCACCGCGTGCAGCACGGCCACTGCAGCTACACCTTCGTGCTGCCCGAGGCCGACCCTCTGCCCTGCCCCGCCGCCCCCGGCCCCGCCAACGTGCTGCTCCAGAGGGATTCGCCGGCCGGCACCGCCGGGCACGGGGCTGCCCAGCGCCTGCGGCATCTGGAGAGGATCCTGGAGAACAGCACCCAGTGGCTGCTGAAGGTAGGGGGTAGGATGGGGGATGTGGGGGGACACGCAGCGGGGTGGGGTGGGCAGGGATCTGTGTCCAGCACCCACTCATGCAGCATCCCTGTGGCACAGCTCGGGCATTGGGGCCTGTGCCCACCTGAGCATCCAGGTCAGGTTTTCTGTGCAGGTGTGCAGCTGGCATCAAGCACTGCCTGCATGGACGGGATGCGTGCTGCGGGTTCTGCGGCTGCTGCTGCAGGTCACTCACCCAGAGCACTCCCCACTGAGGCTGTATTCCCTGTCCATCCTTGCCACAGGGCTCCTCATGGTCCTTGCTGGGTTAGCCGTGCCAAGCATCCTTTGGGGATCAGCATTCCAAGTTCTGGGCAAGGAGACTGGGAAGGGGTTTGGCCAGTGGTGGGGAGAGGGTCCCAAGGTCAGGGGCCACCAAAATCTCTCCAGCTTCATCATTTTCCCTCCTACAGGCTTTGCAGAAGCTCCCAGCACTTGGTGAGACTTTGTGTGGGAGCAGTGGGGTGCCACACCAGAGGGGCTGTGTCCCCACAGGGTTGCCACCCTCAGCCCCCACTGGCTCACCCCGTCCCCAATGCCTGAGGCAGGAAGCAGCATTTCCTTCCTGGAGCCCCCAGCAGCTGAGTGTGACTGCCTGCGTCAGACCCAGGAATAGCTCATCCCATGGGACACATCCCTGGGGGCCCTGAACCCCCCAGCCCGTGCCAGGAACACTGGGTACCTGCACTGATAAGAGGGGAAATGGCTTGTCCCCAGCTGTCACTGACCCAGCAGAGCCACATGCCTGTCCTGTGGTGTGCCACCAGGCTGCAATGGGACCTGTGTGCCTCTGTGCCGTTTCCTGGGTGATGTCCCCGTGCCGAGCCCCTGCAGCACTCAGGGATCAGGATGGGGCCAACACACTGAGTGGGGATCCCGGGGATGGCCTGTGCCAGCCACGCTGCTTGGGTAGCCACCCGGGCTGTGGGGGACAGTGCAGGCAGCAGGGACGTGCAGGACGTTCTTCCTTGTCCCCTCAGCCATCCTAGAGAACAAATTCCTCAAGAGCTGGGAAAACGCTGAACCGTGGCTCTGCTGGCAGCCAGCCCAGAGTGCTGCAGAGGGGTCAGCAGGGCCAGTGACAACCTGGCTGGTGGCACCGAATCTCTGTCACTGTGGAACCTGCTGGGTCTGCTGGGTGCACACGAGTCCCGGGGTCCCTGTGCCCTGGGGTCCCTGTGCCCTTAGCTCTCTGCCTTGGTGTCCCTGTGCCCTGGTGTCTTTGTGCCCTGTGTGCCCAGGCCAGCTCTCAGGATGGGGGCAGCCTTTGTATGGCCAAGCAAGGCAGGGGATCAGGGTCCCACCACAGGTGCACATGGCCCTGTGCAGAGCAGACAGCCACAGGCAAAGTGGGACTGCACATCTGGGCAGCTGTGGGCAGCAATGCCCCTCACCACAGCCCCAAGGAGCACGAGGCAGTGGAGCACTGGGCAGCCAGTGCCTCATTCCTTCCCCATCCCCATCCTGTTCTATCCATCCATCCCATCACAACAATTCCACCCCATCCCATCCCATCCCATCCCATCCCATCCCATCCCATCCTGCAGCGTAGCTCTCTCCTTTTAGAGGCAGCTTGCAGCTATGTTTTTTGCTGTTGTTCCTCGGCTTCCCAAATTTCAGCAGGGCTGCCCAAGAACGCTTGTTTTGGTCAGACTCCAGCCCTGAACAAACAAATGAGGGCTCAAAAGAGGCATTGGGTTCAGGGACAGATCGTAAACAACATTGCATCCCCGTCTGCTCTGCCCTGGCACGGGGAGCCCCACAGGGTGCTGAGAAATTGGGAGGTCTCCTGGTACCCAACAGGTTCCCCAGGTCCTCTCAGGCATCCCCAGCACTGGCCTCCCCCAGCAGCCCCATCCATGGCACTGGGGGCTGGCCCACCCTCCCCACTCAGCACCCCTTGGTGGGGACATGGCCAGGACCCAGCACACAAGGACACATCAGCTGCTTCTATCTCAGGAGGAATTAATTTTAGTTCAAACACAAACACTTGATGGTGCCGCTGGGTCTAGCGGGGGACTTGGGGTGGGATGGGGTCTCCAGTGAGGCAGTGGCATTTTGGCAGCTCTGAGGTGCCTGAGGCACAGGGGCTGGTGCTGCTCACCCTGGGATGTGTGCAGTGGTATGGGGAGCAGGTGAAGGGTTTTCCACCCACCTGTGACTCAAGGATTCCTGAGCCGGTGCTTGTGAAATGTTTAGAAATGCCAGAGCGGGA